TATATTAATCCTGCCTGCTGGCTAAGAGATCTCACTCTTGAAGCGCTTTATCCTATTTGTACATACCCGAGAACTCGACTAAATATTTTTAACTTTACATCCAAACTCGGGTGCGGGGATAGGGAGAGGAAGTGAAGGTACGTTGAACAATCATCCCGGTCCATGGCTCAGCTCTACGCCGTTCTCGGGAAGCGAGGTGATGAGGGTGCCACCCACTACACCACACACACACGCAAACAGTACATAAGGACTGTTGGTGCTCGGTACCAACAACTCGGTACCCCGGTTATAAGGCAGGATCCCAGTACCAACAGAACACTACAATGTTTCGCCCAATATAATGGTCATTTGATTGATGAAATAGGCCACGCCAATCATCAAAAGTGATTCTTACTGACCAATCAACAAGAATACCTCAGTCTTGGACACAATTCGGGAATTAAGAGTTAATTCTCAAGTGATTATATACCGTGAATTTAGTGTTAAAGTCCAATACTCTTAAATAATGCTAAGTGTTTATATGTACTTTCGATGTCCTTGACTCACGGTGTATTATAGTAGCATTTGGTAAATATGCCATTACTTTACAAATACTTATTATAGCTGCCGATGATAATTTTTTATAAATTGATCACATTAAAATCACTTTGTGTGCCTTATTTTTAATATATATATGTAATTTATTTTAGAATTATATACTGCACGGACAATCACATTAATGAACGCACGTTTTCTAAGATAATATGTTTATGTTTCGCCCCGTCGACGTTCAACGATAGAAAGTTACAGGTATGTGGTCGTTGCCATAATGTAGCGTTCTGTTTCTACTTTACTGATTTCCTGTAGCGTTTGATAATTTCTGTAGTGAGAATCAAATAGCATAATCATCCTTCATATATCATATCATCATTCACACCTGACACACACAAGTGAACACAGACGCTGTCTCGCTGCGGGCTGCTCCCAACATGTAAACAAAAAACCACGTGACCACGTGACGTCAGTACAAAGGAGGGGGGGGGGGGCTACAGGTAATACACTCGTCCTCAGTTAACTACATAATTGATTTATTTGTTTAACATCAAACGAAGTAAACAAAGCTAGAAGCTTGTGTGGTAATACTCGTAATAGTTTACCGTTGTGGATGAATATTTCTACGTTGTGTGACGTTGTTACGACGCTGTCGTTACGTCGTGGGTCTGCACGGATGTCAAATTCCTGGCATGTGGACAGTTTATTGACATGTAATCAACGCTGTCAATAATGCTCAATGATCAATTTAACATTAACGTCAACAAAGCTACACTATGACTGAAAAAAGGTATCGACATGGTAAAAAAGGAATTGTTTAGAGGTTCATAGTCATTTTCCAGTGACTGTCTACGTATGAGACGTTCAGTTGCAATTGTAGATGCGATCTAACCTTTGTTGCACATTAAAAGCAAAGACTAGAAGCTAATCTTTATTTATAAGTGAGAGAGAATATCTTTCTGTCTGTCCAAGATAGATTAGACAAGCCTCACGCAACTTTGCAGGGGGAATGGTCTCGGATTAGGGACAGACATAGGCTGGTTGAGGGGGATCAGCGTAGGTTAAATACTTTAAGAAATGTTAGCATTCATAGAGACTCTCATGCGATTTTCATGGCGTCAAGTGGGAAATATATGTTGTGTTTCCCATAGAGTTTCTGTGCTTTGAAATAATAAATGTTGTGAGAAGGGAGAGAGGAGGAAGAGAAGGGGAGGAAGGGACGGGGGAGGACGAGAGAAGGACGAAGAGTGGGACTAAGAGGAGTGGGACGAAGAAGGAGATGGGGAGAAGAAGCTCTGACACCCCCACCACACACCTGCCTCAGTGTCAACTCTGACACCCCCACCACACACCTGCCTCAGTGTCAATTCTGACACCCCCACCACACACCTGCCTCAGTGTCAACTCTGACACCCCCACCACACACCTGCCTCAGTGTCAACTCTGACACCCCCACCACACACCTGCCTCAGTGTCAATTCTGACACCCCCACCACACACCTGCCTCAGTGTCAACTCTGACACCCCCACCACACACCTGCCTCAGTGTCAACTCTGACACCCCCACCACACACCTGCCTCAGTGTCAACTCTGACACCCCCACCACACACCTGCCTCAGTGTCAACTCTGACACCCCCACCACATACCTGCCTCAGTGTCAACTCTGACACAGGTCGTTTTTTAACACTGATGGTATAGATATTTTCCTAATGCATCCAATATTTAGTCATGTAGGATATTACAGGGTCATAGAAGAGCTTCTGCTTGTTATTATTAGAATTCACACTACACAGCTTATTCATAATGTCATATATGTCATTTGTCTACTGGAAGCGACATATGGATATAGGTTTACTCCTGTCCTGGGCAAAACTATGTACAGCTTAATCAGTACCTCCACAGTACAAGTCTTAGTACTGTTTAAACCAGTACTCTTAGTCAGTAAGCTTTATGGTGGCCCTTAATACCTCACCCAGAGGTTGATGTGCCTTAAACCCAATCCTAAAACTAACACAAACACTAACATAAATGTCCAACATTAATGTAAACACCCAACACTACCACAAACAATGACACAAACACTAACACAAACACCCAACACTAACACAAACATCTCTGTCAATATACACACAACCTCCAGTTACACGCAGGTATATTATTGTGTGTTTCCTCTGGCCAACTGCTGGCCAGGCCCCGAGGGACTCTGCTTGGCCAACCAATTTGGATGCTTTTAGCGGAGCAGATGGAGGTTGTGGGGGGGGGGGGGAGGAGGGGACCATGCTTCCAGAGCCCCCACCAGGAAGATACTATAGACCAGACATTCAACGCTTAAGACTTGTACGATACGTCTATAACTATCATGCCTGATCTTTTCTCCCCCATCCTGAGTGAATCACAACGAGCAACGGAGACTAAACGCATGTCGAGTACTGCGTGGCTAGTTTGTCACGAACCGATGGCTGCCAAACGCTCCTGGAAAATATTGACAACGAAGCCTATTTGCTCAGCCTGCCTGAAGGTGTTGTCCTCGATATCAAGATCATTATTTGCGTGCACCAGCGAGGACCACAAAGCACCGTGCTAAATTTATAACCAGGTCTGGAGGGGCCTTGAATTTCCACAGACGTTTCCTGCGTTGGTGGTCATTGTTATATTGTGTGGACACGTTAAATTTGCATATATCTGGAACACGAAATTCTTTTATGCTAGTGGTATCGTTCGAGCATTGCTAAATGCCCCCTCGATCCACTTGATCAGCTCCTCGAGCAGGAGAATGAGGTCTTGCACGGTAATTCGATTGGGCCTTCGTGTACGCTCTACGTTTAGTGATTATTTGTTGATTATTATTTCATGAGGTTGAGCGAGGTCTTAGAGAAAGGAAAATATCGACTGGATATTATGGATCTTGAGAATGTCTTACTGACTGTGATTGTTAATGGCGAGGTGATGTTTGTAATCTTTCTTTGCTAAGGTATAACTTTTAACAATGGGCTGAGAATTTGTGGTATGTTGAATCATACTTATACACACAAGCACGCACACAAATACATATGCATACAGACACACTCGCACACACCACACACACACACATACATTAACACACACACACACACACACACACACACACACACACACACACACACACACACACACACACACACACACAATGGAATGGTAAATGGAATGCATTAGGGGGTGATGTGGTGGAGGCTGACTCCATACACAGTTTCAAGTGTAGATATGACAGAGCCCAGTAGGCTCAGGAATCTGTACACCTGTTGATTGACGGTTGAGAGGCGGGGCCAAAGAGCCAGAGCTCAACCCCCGCAAACACAACTAGGTGAATACTAGGTGAATACACACACGCGCACACACACACACACACACACACACACACACACACACACACACACACACACACACACACACACACACACACACACACACACACACACACACACACACGCGCACACACACACACACACACACACACACACACACACACACACACACACACACACACACACACACACACACACACACACACACACACACACACGCGCGCACACACACACACACACACACACACACACACACACACACACACACACACACACACACACACACACACACACACACACACACACACACACACCAGCTCGCCACAATTCTCCTGCTGGGTCCATACCATTACTTTCCACCTTGCCGTTAATTGTGTCTCCACCCTCTCCTTTTCTCCCTTCCTCTCCTGTCTCCGTTTTAATTCCTTTTTCCTCTCCTTTCTACAGTTTTCTCCTCTATTCCTATTTACATAATTCTTGAGGCTTGTGTAGGAAATTGCAGTAATAATTACAATTATTTAATTATTTCTAAAAACAGCAGTTGCCATTAGAATGATTAGAATATGTAAAAAAATAAGCATAATAATTTTTCTAAGGAGTTTTACTAATATTTTCACGTAACCCTGGACGGGGCGTCCTGGGGTGTGACTCCTAGACTGTGAGTGTGAGATTGTATAACTTACAACTCTGATTCATCTTTTCAGTTTATTTACTTGCCTCATGACTTAATAAGGAGCAACATTTATCAGCTGACAGAAGACGCCTCAATAATTTTCAGCCATTTCCACGGATTTATCCCATTGGTATGGATCAGTATATTATCCCTTCCACTCAGGAGAGACACCACATCCACTCCAGGAGAGACACCACTCCACTCAGGAGAGACCACTCCTGTTAATCCACTCAGGAGAGACCGCTCCTGTTAATCCACTCAGGAGAGATACTAAATGAAGCGTTTAACATATATATTTTTGCATTTTGAGTGTTGATAATATGTTGCATTTTCTTTAAGTTGCTTCCCCTTCCTGGTAGATCGTTTGACCTAATGTTGACCTTGTCGACAGCGGAGACCACCGGGCTGACCTCTGTGGGTCAGGAGGTGAAGGTGTTCGGGCTCCAAGCCGACATGTGGGTCCCTTCGCGAGCCGACATTTTCATCCGCTTCAACCTCGGGAAAAAGGTGAGTTTATTTTTTGTTTTAGATTGGGGTCACTACTGAGGGAGAGACGTGTGTGTGTGTACAGGAGTGTGGCGACCAGGGTTAGAGTGAGATGATGGCAACCAGCATCACCCTGGAGGAGGGTAGGGATCAGGGTCAGAACCAGAGGGGAAGGGGGAGGGGGGAGAATGTTTTGCGAGCCATTGCCTAGGATATACAATGCTACAATATTAATACGGAAGCTGTCATACATCTAGAAAACCACCAGTATTTAGGAAATTTGGAATCCAGGAAATTCCCTGAACTAACTAGTATCGCCGGAATGTATTCCCTATACAGATTCCTGGAGGAAATAGTGAGAAGCACTTGGAAGAAGATAAATTTACAGCACAATGGTTGCACTGATGTAGAGGGGTGTCATGTGGGACTCATCTGAGAACGTTCCATGACAGGAGAACGAAGGTGAGGCAGGAGAGAGCTGCTGGGATGACCAAGCTATAAACACAAGTGAGCTCAATTTAATGAGGTTAGACTGAAGAAGGACATTAGAAAAGGCATGATAACAGCATTCAAAATATTGAGGGAGTCAGTTGAGATAGAAGTGGACAATCTACTCCACAAGCAGGGAAATATAACGAGCGCCTACAGGTCTAACATTGCATCACCAACGAACCACAGAGAGGTGAGGGTATTCCTGTAGGAGGTGTAGTCAGCAATTGAGCACATGACACCTATGAGGTGGCATGGCCAGTGGTGGACCCAACGCGGCGCAGTCAAAAGACGAGAGCTCAGTCGAGTAAAAACTCATGCATGTCAGAGCGAAAAAATCCCGAGAAGAGTCAGTTATTGTTGTTTCCGTCCGTCCACCAGGGTTTCCCGGACACGAGGGAGCTGAGCGTGTGCTACCGGGCCAAGGCCACCAGTCTGGAGCAGATCGAGACGTACATCCACTTCGCCGCCAACAGCGAGAACGTCGATGCTCTGGTTGTTAGTAAGTTCCAGCGAGATTACTGTCATTGTTGTTATTCACATCATTTTGCATCCTCTCTATGAGAAATATCATAACTTTATTACACACAGAAATCACAATTGCGTGATGCATCAAATGAACAAATCCACAAGGACCGTGACGAGGATTCGAACCTGCGTCCGAGAGCATCCCAGACGCTGTCGTAGCTCAGTCGATTAAGGCAGCGTCTGGGATGCTCTCGGACGCAGGTTCGAATCCTCGTCATGGTCCTTGTGGATTTGTTCATATCAAAACTTATTTCCAAAACATTTCGTCATTTATGCACAGATACAGAAAAATGTTTGGGGATGTGATTTCTTATAGAATTCAGAGAGACAAAGAGAGAGACTCACATATACATATACGTATGTGTATACATATACAAGAGGGGGGGGGGATACCCAGCGTTGCATAGATGACGGAGGACACATATTCTCTACACAATAGCTTCATTATTGTAACAACCTTCACTACACATTCTTTTCACCACAGTCACCATTTGTTATTCTGGCCAGCAGCCTTGAGGAGACAGACACGGGAAGGTCTCTGTGTGTCTGTCAGTCTGAGGCTGGAGGACAGACACTTGGGACTCGCGTCTCCCAAATTGTCCCAGTAATTGCTGGGAAAATTACAGGGGGGGACGACCTGCCCATGTTGGCCATGCTGATACATGGCCAACATGGGGCAACTGGCATCATTGAGAAGAGCGTCACATGATATTGTACCAAGTTCACCCCCACAACAAATCTTCTGATTACATTATCACTCATCTCGGAATTATTATTATTTTTTTCTGTACCGTAATTAGTGCACAATGAACGCTAGGCCATGCCAAAATTGTCAAAATAATTCTACCTATCCTACTTTGGCCATAATAGGAAAATCCATGTATTATGGGGCCTGACAGCTGAGTGGACAATGCTTGGGATTCGTAGTCCTAAGATTCCGGGTTCGATCCCCGGTGGAGGCGGAAACAAATGAGCAGAGTTTCTTTCACCCTAATGCCTCCATTCGCCTAGCAGTAAATAGATACCTGGGAGTTAGACACCTGCTACGGGCTGCTTCCTGGAGATGTGTAACAAAAAGAGGCCTGGTCGAGGACCGGGCCACGGGGACGCTAAACCCCGAAATCATCACAAGATAACCTCAAGATAACAAGATTCATGACATTAAGAATTCAGCACATATCATAACACCAGAAGCATGGCTTCCTTCATCTACACCTGCCATAGTTCCTCTCTCCAATCTTCCTCCAGTGAGAGGGGAAAGTGAGATGGAGAGAAACCCAGTTCTTCCCCACAAAATTTACACATGGAGTCCACCCAAGAAATTGATTGACACGAGGAATCATTTTGTTGACGTGAATACATTCAAAGATGTTAAGAGTGGATTGTGGCTTTCCAGTGATCTTGTAGAACAGAGGACGAAGCTTGCTTACAGGGCAAAACTATGTAGTAAAATATAAATGCTCACAGATTCGGTGTTTAATGTATCGGGAGGTATTCCCCATATATTGATTGTTACAACTCTAACATTTAAAAGTAAACAACAGCAGATCTGAGACGAATGTGTAAAGGATATTTATGTTTTAAAGTTTCCTAAAGTATGATTGGTAAAATTCGACACATGGGGAATATCTCGCGATACTTTAACCGCCATAAAAATATATATATATATATATTGGTTTCGCTTTCAATAGTTGGAATCTTTCCTGTTTATATTTTTCATTAAATTAGTTGAATCAATTGGTTTTATGAAATCATCATCGTACCAGATGTTACGATAATAATAAATGCACTGTATGGAGCTAAATGTCTGTCTAATTGTCATACTGAAACAATTTTTCCAGTGCGAATAGGGTCTAAGCTTGACGTGTACGTCCATGACGTGGGTCAGCCTGGGCTGACGGATCTCTACACCGACCTGGTGCTCCACCGCTGGGAGCATCACTGTTACATCTTCTCCCAGGGCAGCTTCAAAGTCTTCATTAACGGCAAAGAGAAAGCTGGTGCACCACTCATTGAGAAAGACATCTTGTTACCAGTCAACAGCACGCTCGTTTTTGGTTTGGAACAAGATTCTGTCGGCGGTGGCTTCGACAAGACGCAGATCTTCCGCGGGTACATGGCTCAGGTCAACATCTGGAACCGGAAAATAAGCGACCAGGATGTCATGGACATCGCCTCGTGCAAAATGTATGGCGAAGGGAACGTCTTTTCGTCAGATGTGGACATTGTGGAGGAGGTGGGAACGACTCGCGACGTTGTGCCGCTGGCTAAACTCTGTGAGCCCGAGAGTGATTTTTTTGTCATCCCAATGATGTTCAGCATTTACGAAGGGAGACAGGAATGCTACAGACTTGGGTATGGATTATATGCACCAGAATCACCGCAAAAGAATAAGGAAATGTACAACGACTCTCTACAGTTTCTGGACACCTGTACAAACACTTACCACATGTGGATTGGTGTGTCAGATGAGAAGGAAGAAGGAGTTTGGCGAAGGGACTCTGACAAAACAGTCATGAAGGATTTGTCTTGGGAGCTGGGTCAACCTGATGGACAGACGATACAAAACTGTGTATACATGTCAGTGTTCGATGGTAAGTGGAGCGATGAAGCGTGTGGACTTGGCATCCTGTCGTGCATCTCCTGCACGAAGAGGCAGAATCCGCCACTCATCCTTAGAGGAATGTGCTTCAGAACGGAAGCTGAGACTTCTTTCGAAATTCTTGGATACATCAACAGGAAACCATACTTTCATGGATTCTATGGTTTAATGATTTTTTTGACTGAAAAAGGATCGGGATCGTGGGCGCTTTTCGACACAAGAACTAATGCAACATTAGCCATTCTGTCCTTGAATTCCGTCACTGACTTCCCGATTGGTAGAAAAACTTGGATAGTCAAGAATCCTGTGTGTGATCTTCCCCTAAACACCAAACTTGACCTAAGCCTCTCGCCCTGTCACAACTCCGAGTTCACGTGTGGTAACGGAGATTGCATTACCAAAGAACAGCGTTGTAACTCTAGAGACGATTGCATTGATTTCTCTGACGAGAACGGGTGTCACCTTGTGTCGAAGCCAGAGAGCTATAGGGGTGAAAGACCCCCTGACGCAATCGAGTTAAATAAACCTCTCCAACTTTTAGCTAAAGTTCAAGTTCTCCGGTTCACGGAAATTAACGATGTCGGAAGAATTGTCAGTCTCGAAATGAACGTAAATATTGTCTGGAAAGACACACGGCTCAAGTACCTCAACTTGAAGAACACAATGGAATGGAACACGCTCTCACAGCAAGAAATAGACAGCATATGGAGACCCATCTTGGAGTTCCCGAACGTTCAAGACGGCCAAGTGAGGATGCTGAAGGAGAAGCTGTACGCTGAGAAAGGTGGAAATCCTCTTCCCCCAGAATATAACGACATCAAAATGGGTAAGAATCAATCGTCGGTTTTAGTTTTTCATGAAGTTAACGATAAACAATATTTTCTTGTTTATAATAGGCAGTTATAAACTCTCAATAATAGGCAGTAAAATAAAATAAATTATTTTCCCAGAGGCGGTGTACTCAGGAGACACAACATCCCTTGTTCAAGTACAACATTACAGGTCAGTATGTGGTGCTCTATGTGGTACTCTATGTGCACCAGACCGAATTTATTTCAATGTATAAAACGGCAAAACGAAATGTGTGTGAGTTCTTCATCGAGAAAAGTTTATTGGTTTAAGAAATTGATTGGATAGCAAACAACCCATCCTCCTGTTTAGATAAAACCTATTGTGACAATCGTCAATAGTTAGAATTCGTGATCCAGGGCTCTGTCTAACGTGTAATATTGTGTTCCAGGACCCTGCCTAACATGTAGTGTCTGAGCTCCAGGGCTCACGTTATTCAGGGCTCTAGGGAAATCTCGTTGTGTTCGAAGCAGAAAAATAAATCATCTACTCTAAGCCAAGCTGTTTTATCACTTGGTCATATCGGTCCGTAAGATTGATGTTCCTGGTGGGGCCGGAGGGAGCTGGGGTCCGCCCCGGACGACCCGGGTCTCACTCGACCGGAGCGAGCTGGGATTCGCCCCGGACGACCCGGGTCTCACTCGACCTGAGCGAGCTGGGATTCGCCCCGGACGACCCGGGTCTCACTCGACCTGAGCGAGCTGGGATTCGCCCCGGACGACCCGGGTCTCACTCGACCTGAGCGAGCTGGGATTCGCCCCGGGCGATCCGGATCTCACTCAACCTGAGCGAGCTAGGATTCGACCCAGATGGCCCGGATCTCACTCGACCTGAGCGAGCTAGGATTCGACCCAGATGGCCCGGATCTCACTCGACCTGAGCGAGCTAGGATTCGACCCAGATGGCCCGGATCTCACTCGACCTGAGCGAGCTAGGATTCGCCCCGGACGACCCGGATCTCATTCGACCTGAGCGAGCTGGGATTCGACCCAGACGGCCCGGATCTCCCTCGATCTTACTAGTAGCAGAGCGAGAGGTTCTTTGAGCGTCATCCAGCACACACACAGAGCCTCGCGGCGAGCCTTATTACTTAGTGTCAAGTCTCGAAGTGAGAGTCATCAGTAACAGAGAACTATGTTCAAAGTTTTCATAGCGGGGGACAAAGAACAAAGAAAATGTTAAAAAAAAAGTCTATTTATTTAGTGTCAATTATAACTTTTTTTCATTATGTATTTGATAATTTCAGATCAATGCAATTGGAGAAAAAGGGGAGGAAAATATTGATCTAGAGAGTATAATGTTTAATCTACGATGATGTTAACGAGTAATGAGTAATTAGAATGAATGCACCTAATTGCAACCCATTTAAAATAATGATGCAACGTGATTCCAAGCATCAGGCGTTGTATTAGTTCATGAATACACATAACAGAAATAATTACTTTCGACGCTCTACAAAAAAAAAGAGTAATTCACTCTTTTACTGTGTTCGATGAACTATTAATGACAAATGTTTAAGAGAGGAGAATGTGCATCTGATCACTGATAACCAAGAGGCGAATTCAGTGAGCAAGATCTCCTCTCTCCTCTCTCAGGAAACAACGAATATAGTTTCGTTAGCAGAGCAGGATAAACATTAACACATATATATATACGCATTTAGTAACGGTCGATAGATCGAGAAACCCGACTTGAGGATGTGTTTCATAATAGGAAATATCATTGTATCACTTCCTCTTTTATTACTCAAATTGAGACATATTAAGGAATATATAAAAGGGGGTCGCTGCTGGAATGAGGCCCCCGGAATGGGTATGGGGGCGCAGAATAAATAAATTAATCTAAATTTACTGGCATGACGATCCTGCCAACAGGACCAGTTGATGTTTATAAGTTCCACTCAACACTTGGCTGTATATAGAAGTGCACCCATCTTCTCGGTGTACATACACTCAGAGTTTACTTCAATACTCATCTATTTTCAGGACAATAAGTATACTGGCTGGTTAGTCAATAAGCTAGTGTTATTGGCCTTAATAACCCTCCAGAGAGTGGTAAACCTTGAGCACAGAATTCACCAAAAAACATATACACGACGCAAAGCTGAACGTTCAGCGAATGATCTACATCCTGACCTCTATGTGGCGTCTCCGTCGCTCCATGATATAAGCATCACACATGTCTCCAGTGTGAGTCAATCCTGGCATGTAAACTTAGCAATTTATCCCTCCCATCCAATTGATCGTGAGCGACTGACTTTAAGAAACTCTAGACTATTGAAATCACGTTTAGAAGAGTTGCCAAAGACTCCAGCGATGCAGGAGTTGCCAAGGACTCCAGCAATGCAGGAGTTGCCAGGGACTCCAGCAATGCAGGAGTTGCCAGGGACTCCAGCGATGCAGGAGTTGCCAAGAACTCCAGCGATGCAGGAGTTGCCAGGGACTCCAGCGATGCAGGGGTTGCCAAGACTCCAGCGATGCAGGAGTTGCCAAGGACTCCAGCGATGCAGGAGTTGCCAAGACTCCAGCGATGCAGGAGTTGCCAGGGACTCCAGCGATGCAGGAGTTGCCAGGGACTCCAGCGATGCAGGAGTTGCCAGGGACTCCAGCGATGCAGGAGTTGCCAGGGACTTCAGCGATGCAGGAGTTGCCAGGAATTCCAGCGATGCAGGAGTTGCCAGGGACTCCAGCGATGCAGGAGTTGCCAGGACTCCAGCGATGCAGGAGTTGCCAGGGACTCCAGCGATGCAGGAGTTGCCAGGGACTCCAGCGATGCAGGAGTTGCCAGGGATTCCAGCGATGCAGGAGTTGCCAGGGACTTCAGCGATGCAGGAGTTGCCAGGGATTCCAGCGATGCAGGAGTTGCCAGGGATTCCAGCGATGCAGGAGTTGCCAAGACTCCAGCGATGCAGGAGTTGCCAGGGACTCCAGCGATGCAGGAGTTGCCAGGGACTCCAGCGATGCAGGGGTTGCCAAGACTCCAGCGATGCAGGAGTTGCCAAGGACTCCAGCGATGCAGGAGTTGCCAAGACTCCAGCGATGCAGGAGTTGCCAGGGACTCCAGCGATGCAGGAGTTGCCAGGGACTCCAGCGATGCAGGAGTTGCCAGGGACTCCAGCGATGCAGGAGTTGCCAGGGACTTCAGCGATGCAGGAGTTGCCAGGGACTCCAGCGATGCAGGAGTTGCCAGGGATTCCAGCGATGCAGGAGTTGCCAGGGACTTCAGCGATGCAGGAGTTGCCAGGGATTCCAGCGATGCAGGAGTTGCCAGGGATTCCAGCGATGCAGGAGTTGCCAAGGACTCCAGCGATGCAGGAGTTGCCAGGGATTCCAGCGATGCAGGAGTTGCCAGGGATTCCAGCGATGCAGGAGTTGCCAGGGATTCCAGCGATGCAGGAGTTGCCAAGACTCCAGCGATGCAGGAGTTGCCAGGGATTCCAGCGATGCAGGAGTTGCCAGGGATTCCAGCGATGCAGGAGTTGCCAGGGATTCCAGCGATGCAGGAGTTGCCAAGGACTCCAGCGATGCAGGAGTTGCCAGGGATTCCAGCGATGCTCGTCCTGAACGGGAGCGATAAAGGAGAATAACCGGCCTTACTTTGATCTTCGAAGTGTTTAAATTTTGAAGAAAGACGAGGGAGGATGCAAGCTCTCAATATTACAAGGCCGAGGAATGGAATTATGCTGAAGGAATACGCGCCGCTTTATGGAGGCTAACACGAAAAAGGGTTGGAATTTTTTTATTAAAATGCAAAAATTTATGGTTGATCGTTTAAAGTTAAATTAAAACGATAATGTAATATATAACTGTACAAGTAATAACCGCGATAAGTTAATGATACCGAATATTTAAGATCTTCAGGTAATAATGATATGTGTAACTTCAGGTACGGTTACACCTTTGAAATTTGACAAAAACACCTTGTGTATTATAAAATGCAATACTGGAGAGAGAGAGAGAGAGAGAGAGAGAGAGAGAGAGAGAGAGAGAGAGAGAGAGAGAGAGAGAGAGAGAGAGAGAGAGAGAGAGAGAGAGAGAGAGAGAGAGAGAGAGAGAGAGAGAGAGAGAGAGAGAGAGAGAGAGAGAGGGAGGGGGGGGGGGCGTGAGTGGAGAAAAACAGTGTTAATTAAGACCAAACATTTAATAAACAAAAACAAAAAAAATCTGTTCAGAACATGTCTCCCACTGTGGCTCTACAGTGGGACCTTCACCTGCCAGTTCGATGTGTTCTACTACCCGTTCGACAAGCAGAGGTGCTCGGTCCTCATCCAGCTCTCATCTGTCAGGGAAGACAACGTCACCTTCACCAAGTTCGGCTCCACGGCGGAGTACACGAGCCTCGAGGAGTTGCCCCTGTACGTCGTCAACAACTTCCAGGCCATCACCAAACACCGAGGTCAAGGTCTGACGCGCTTCAGTGTCTTATCGGTAAGCTCTTCTTCAGGTAGGTTATTCCTTGACGTGTCGAGGGATCAGTCGGGTTGGTCCAAAATCTAGGCAATGAGCAAATCGAACTACCTCGCAGCGAGAGGGACATTAGCGATGGGTCAGCGGGACAGAGACCATGGCATCCTGTCGACAAACTCCCAGTTGACTCGTCATTCTAGCACACATGTTTAATTTAGGCTGCATCGCTAAACGGCAGTCAAAAACACATGCTATCATTAACACACGATAGAGTCTATACCTTTGCCTGTGTTAATGTCCCTACACAAGACCAGTCCACACAGCTACAAGCACTGCACCTCGTGTAGCCTCTTGCTCTTAATATACCACAACGTTCAAAATACAATGCCCTAACCTAACCATAAACTCGGGCACCGCAACGTATCCAGTCTAGTAGTTCATATTTGTTGTCTATCACGGGCTCACCATAGCCCTTGCTACTTGGAACTTTGTGTTCCGAGTGGCTGAATCTATAACAACAACAACTGATTTCCTTTACGGGCTCACCATAGCCCGTGTTGCTTGGAACTTCGTGTTCCGAGTGGCTGAATCTATAACAACAACAAACAACTGAATTCTATTGGTGCTTACCGTTGTCTGCTGGTGCCAAATGGCTCACAGGGTGCCAAATGGTAACTGCTGACGCCCGCTGCATGTGTTGTAGTCATAATTGATGTTGATGGTGATTGATGTTTCAGCAGACCGTAAACATGCATCACTCTTCATTATATAAACAATGGTTTTGTAAATTCTGTGTGCGTTTACTCCGATAAATGAGGTCAGAGCCGACCGCTAGTTAAACCATATGCTAATCTGTTCGTCAGTCAGTCTCTGTGGGTGTGTCTCTTAATCTCATTATCTCTCACATATATTTCAAAGCATCTATGATACTGTGTGCAATATATATATATATATATATATATATATATATATATATATATATATATATATATATATATATATATATATATATATATATATATATATTAGGGGGTACCATCTCTGGTGCCAATGTGGGGACCCATAGCCTCGGAGAAGAAAATAAAAAGTATTCAGAGGAGACCTTGTGGTTTCTTACTGAACACTAATATTATCTTCTCCTACCACCCCCATTCTTTTGTATGTACACATATATATTTACTTTATTTGAACTTTGTTACAAAAAAGGAGTTACATATGGGTTACAAAGATGGTTATCATAGGTTGTCGAGTTCCTCCAGCTCCTCAGATGGCGGGCAGGAACCCTGGATGCAGTGCGCATTTCCCCTCTGTATCGCCACACTGAGGCGCTGGAAAAGAAAGCTTGCAGCTCTTGGGTCCCTTGTTGTTTCAATGAGCCTAGAACCCAGTTCCTTCAAAAAACTGGTAGCACTTTTACCCCAGGCGCCGAGTGTCTCAGAAGCAATGGGGACAAAATTGTAGTGGTGATCCAGTTCTCTATACTTACGGGATTTGGCCGCTTCCCTGTGGGTGGCAGCGCCACCTGGTTGTGCAACACTGAGGTAAATGTAGGTGTTAGCCAGGGTTGATACGCACGTGTAGTCCCATACCAACTGCTTGCCATTCTTCCAGGGGTTCACTGTGATACCATCCGGGCGACCAATAAGAGCATCAGAGTTAGGGGGCGTTAGGTAACGGGGCTCTCTTTCAGCTGGGCATCCAGCTGTGGTCAGGCTCCTCTTGATGATGTCGTTAACTTCACTGTGCCTCGAGTGCCATCCCCCTGTGCTTTGGCAGAGTAGGCCATGGTGGCCGTACCTGTCAGCCACCACCTCGCCGCAAATATACCTATATCTGGTGTGGATTGGGGCAGCAAGGCGGAGGGCCACAGCAATTCGGAGGGCGTGTGGTGTGAGACGCGTGCCAGTTGCCGACATTGGGGTTGCTAACAGGAAATCCCCTGCATGTGGTGCTGCTACTGCTGTGAGGCGAGCAATGTCGTGTTGTGTTGTTGCAGCACCCAGGCACTCTGCAGCAACTTGTTCTACAATGGGGCCATCCCAGCTGGATTGCTTGTGGGCTTTTGGGGATGGTGGTTGAGGTGATTGGCCTGCACGAGAGGCCCACTCTGTGGCACAGCGTGTAAAATTGGGATCATGTACACCTGCCAGCTGATGTAAGTGGGCAGGTAGAATTTCCTTCACAAGGTCGTCGGATGGTGATAAGGAGGACAGGAAGGCTGGAACAGCGATTTGCGTTGCTGTTCGAACTCCGAGGCCCCCAAGTCTTACGGGAAGAGAGGCTTGTTTCCACTGTAGGTCATCGAGAGAGAGGTTAAGGGATTTTTCTAGCATTGATTTCAGTAACCGGTCATACTCACTTAGTTTTTGGCTACTGTAAGATGGTGAACACCTCAGAAAGTAGGTTAACCTGGGGAGGGACAGACATCTGGTGATGAGGTAGAGTGCATCATGAGCATACATATATATATATATATATATATATATATATATATATATATATATATATATATATATACAATCTTTGGACAACACCCACCAGTGGGACTCGAACCCAGAAAGCACAACTACCTTCCAGTAGCTGGCATAACTAGTATGCTTTAACCCACTACGCCATCAGACCTTACAAAAGAAGTAGATAGTTCGAGATATATATATCTCAAACATCTCTACCTCCCGAAGGCACCAGATGAGTGAGGGGTCAGTCTGCAATTTTCGTCAAGCCACTGTCAATGTGAGAGAACTCGTGTCCAGCTTATAAGCCTATACTTGCATAAACCACAAGTGAAGATAAACAATCTTTGGACAACACCCACCAGTGGGACTCGAACCCAGAAAGCACAACTACCTTCCAGTAGCTGGCATAACTAGTATGCTTTAACCCACTACGCCATCAGACCTTACAAAAGAAGTAGATAGTTCGAGATATATATATCTCAAACATCTCTACCTCCCGAAGGCACCAGATGAGTGAGGGGTCAGTCTGCAATTTTCGTCAAGCCACTGTCAATGTGAGAGAACTCGTGTCCAGCTTATAAGCCTATACTTGCATAAACCACAAGTGAAGATAAACAATCTTTGGACAACACCCACCAGTGGGACTCGAACCCAGAAAGCACAACTACCTTCCAGTAGCTGGCATAACTAGTATGCTTTAACCCACTACGCCATCAGACCTTACAAAAGAAGTAGATAGTTCGAGATATATATATCTCAAACATCTCTACCTCCCGAAGGCACCAGATGAGTGAGGGGTCAGTCTGCAATTTTCGTCAAGCCACTGTCAATGTGAGAGAACTCGTGTCCAGCTTATAAGCCTATACTTGCATAAACCACAAGTGAAGATAAACAATCTTTGGACAACACCCACCAGTGGGACTCGAACCCAGAAAGCACAACTACCTTCCAGTAGCTGGCATAACTAGTATGCTTTAACCCACTACGCCATCAGACCTTACAAAAGAAGTAGATAGTTCGAGATATATATATCTCAAACATCTCTACCTCCCGAAGGCACCAGATGAGTGAGGGGTCAGTCTGCAATTTTCGTCAAGCCACTGTTTATCTTCACTTGTGGTTTATGCAAGTATAGGCTTATATATATATATATATATATATATATATATATATATATATATATATATATATATATATATATATATATATATATATATATATATATATATATTTATATATATATATATATAATAAACGGGATTAACACGTTTTCAACCAGCAATTTAAAAGTTTTATTATGTTTTGGTTTGTTATTAAAGTTTAGTTGTGCCGTGCTTGTGTAGTAAATTCAGAAAAAAAACAGCAGTAAGTATACTGGGATCAGTGTCCTGGGGTCAGTGTTAGGTCCTAAGTATAAGGTTTAAAATGATTCATTGATAAATATGTTATTAGTTATTTTCATTTTAGCTAAATATTATTTTTTCTTTTATGTCAAAAACTCTTTATTTTTTTACCTTCATAAAAAATGTGTTCAATAAAAAGAAAATCTTTTGTAAGTTTTGTCATGCTTTAAAGTTTTTAGTTTGTGGCGAATTTTATATAACAATAATGGTGGCAGCCGCCAGTCATCAGGCGCCGGTTATGAAAAAGCCCGGGGGACTGTGCAGACTTATGTATAACTTTTTATTATTGTGTAAATCATTTTGCTATATTCCTTTTAGTGTTCAATTTTATGAATTTATTTCTTTCCTAATATCCCACTTTATTGTCTTCCTCCCTTGACCCAAACATCTTCTCTTTTCTCCCTCTCTTTTGCTCTCTCTTTCAAAATATGTAATACAATATTACGAAAAAATTACATATTTATCAAAAACTCTACGCAAAACAAATATCCGATTTTAGACTTCGCCAAAATCGTAGACGGTAGGAGCTAATATTTCTTAAAGGGCGGCAATGTGACCGATCCTGAGCAGCCTACAGCATTCACATACCACCAATGTGACATTTTGAAAAATTGAGTGAAGCTAGCCTTTGGCATTTGGCCTCCGACCTTAGACAGATAGACAGACATTGTCTTTTTCAGGATGGTCACTAAGGGGGCTCTTTCCTGTTCCCTTTGTTAGGGTGGTCACTGTAGGCTCCCTTATCTGTCCCTTTCGTAGAAACAAGAAAATAACGCCCGTGACCTCAAGCTTGCCGCACCAGTGAAATATTTTCACTCGTTTGCTAACTTCTGGCAAGTAAAAACAAGAAGCTGACTGATTGTTAACTTTCTGGAAAAGGTTAGTTTTCAGGAATTTCAATAGTGTAGAGTGTGTTGTCTTCGTTGTTGTTAATGAACGCGACGTTGGTAACGGGGCGTTGGCTTAAGTGCATGGCGTCCAAAGAGGGTCTAGGCTCACACCTTGAAAACATGAGTAATCTACTTCATAAAAGTGATTGAAGGTATCACACTCTTAATTAACAATGTCAATTAATCTCTCATAATGCCTTTTCTTCCCCTGCGAGAACATGTTAGTACAGTGCTAACGTTAATTATCCTTTTGTCAGTTCCAACAAAGGAGACCATATTATGATGATATGGTCTTGTTATTCCTTGCTCTTTAACTAGCTTACAATAAATATTGACACACACACACACACACACACACACACACACTGAATGTGTTAGAGAGAAATATATAAAGTATAAATAATAGTGGAATATATATTAGAAAGGCGGGATCTAAGAGCTAATAGTTTGATTATGCAGGCAAATAAATAGTAAAATAGTAAAAATATTAAAAGACACACACTATTATACTGGCCGAGGATGACCAAATATTGTTCACTACAGGTGGAGTTTGAGTTGCACCGACGGTGGACAGTGATCATGATGAACCTGTACCTGCCCACCAACATGCTCCTGGCGACAGGCTACGCCACTCTCTTCCTCGAGGTGGCCGACCAAGGCGTGAGTGTCAATTGGTATCGAGTAACTTTAAGGTGATGCTTGACTCTCCTAAAACAAAATGATTCCTGCCTCGGCTAAGTCAGAAATGAGATTTACCTCGTCTAAATTAAGACTTTTGGTCGATCTGCTAGCTTGTGACACGTTTGAAGCTTTGAGAGTAATATAAGCTTGATAAAATACAACTAATTACCTCTGATGGACTTGGTTATCCAGAACACAACCAGCTCATGGCTCGAGACCCGTTCTCCATAGGTATCCGCGAGTTCTCTTTACTCAACGACTTAGAACTTAAGCAAATTTGTTAAGCTTGATATAACTTATTCTCCTCAGAGCCGGATGGAGCTGAGTCTGACGACACTGCTGGTGTTGTACACGCTCTTCAACAGCAGCTCCAGCTCCCTCCCCGTCACCGCCTACGTCAAGATGATCGACGTGTGGTTCCTCTACTGCATCCTACTCCTCTTCTTCATCATCGTCTGCCACACAGTCGTCAGGAGCAAGATTCATCGCGTGCACAACTTTAGAAGTCAAACTCCTGAACGCATCAATAAGATGCTGGAAAAGGTTCCTCCGGAGATGATCCTCAAGGTGATGAGGTACTACGTGATTCCTGGCACGGTGGCCATCTTCAACACCGTCTACTGGGCAACACTTATGCGCTCCTTATCTCATTAAAGCTGACGCTTACACAGAAGACTAATACATAGAGGTGTACATACAACAACAATTGAACCAGGTTAGCTAAATCTGGAATAGCAACGTGGCAAGTATGGTTGTGTTCTCTGATGAACATTTACGAACTTTAGGATATGAACAAGAAAGGGAAGAATGTCCGAGCAGAATACTTATTTGTCAGAAGCTAATATGACGCTCTGAAATGTTCGCCGAGAGAGAGAGTGAGGGGCATAGCTGAGATGTGTCCAGCATCCTTCTCACGTGCAGCCTAGCTAACTTGGGACGTATTGTCTTAATGCCGTTCACACACACACACACACACACACACACACACACACACACACACACACACACACACACACACACACACACACACACACACACACACACACACACACACACACACACACACACACACTTCTCCCTCCTTCTTTCGCTGAGTTCTCTAACTTTCCATGATGTATGACAAGCAATTTTCACTTCACATTTTTCCCCTCCCCAGGAAAACGGGCTTCCACCATCCGTGGAATTTTAAACGAGCCTTAGAGCTCCACACAAGCCCGTTGACTCCAAGGGGCTCGTGTGAAGCCTTGTACATACGTAGAAGCCCTTGTAATCTCCCACAGAACCATTTACTCAGGAAAACCTTGGTTTTAATGGAACAATTACCATCCCACTTCCGACCCTCTAATAAGGAGTATTGGCCATGCTGTTAAACCAATAGAAACACTGAGGACTATTATGTAGTTCTCCATTGAGCTTAGAACCCGGCAGAAATCCTTCGCAGTTCTAGATATTCCTTGGTCTTGGAATCATACTGGGCGCTATCGCATTGAGTAAAGTCATCAGTCGAAGAAGAATCTCTTAGCGAGTTATTAATTGAGATCAGTGTTATCAGTGTAACTAGCGAATAATGGTATCTTTATATATCAAAGTGCTGAGCCCTCTGTTAAATAATAATGTTTGAAGTATCTAATTGTATACTATGTAAACCTTATCTATAGTTTGGTTTTTCTTTTGTTTATGCTTCATGTAAACTTTACTCTTTTAATTTTTGTTCTGTAGTTTCCCCTTGATGTGAGTGTTTATGCTAATTTTGAGTGACGTCTTGTCTTATAATTATTTCTGTTTCATTGAAATATTGAGCATATTAATTGTTATCAATTATTTTGTAATATTTGTATTTTTTATAATGAATGTAATTGATAATTTATAATAATTTTTTGTTTTGTTTTTATATAAGATTTTTTAATAATTTTGATCATAAATGTAATTTTAATTTATATTTTTTGTTGTAGATCATATGTCAAATAATATTTCTAACTATTTACAAAAGGTAAGTTTCTGGGTTTGTTCTTATTATTATTGTTTAATTAGTGTTAATTTTGTATATACTGTATTATCTTGTAGTAAAGAACCCGGTTGTGTATGAGTTTCTTGTTTGGCTAATTAGCTTTTAATTTCTCACTTCTTTATTTTACATCTGATAATAAGTATGAAGATATATTGGAAACGCTGTGATTTTAATTTAAAGTAAACAAGATTTTAATTAAATAAGATATCATGCTTTGTCGCCTCGTGTACAATGGGGCCATCCCAGCTGGATTGCTTGTGGGTTTCAGAAGGTGGTGGTCCTGAAAGAGAGACACATTTGGTGGTTCAGTGTATAAAATTGGGATCGTGTGCCACTGCCTGTTGATCTAGGTAATGTGGTAGGTTTTCCTTCACCAGGTTGTTAGATGCCACTGACGAGGACGGGAACGCTGGTACAGCAATTTGTGTTGTGTGAACGTCATGGCCCCCCGAGTCTGAGACGAAAGGAGGCTTGTTTCCACTGTGGGTCATTGAAAGAAAGGTTAAGGATTTTTTCTAACAATGATTTCAGCAAGCTGTCGTACTCTTCTAGCTTCAGGCTATTGAAAGATGTCAAACATCTAAGAAAGTAGGTCAGTCTGGGGAGGGACAAGCTTCTGGCGATAAGGTAAAGTGCGTCTTGAGCATCAATGTTTTCAATCCCCTCATCCATGCTCTTTAGGTCAGCGATCTTCTTACCAAGGGCCTCGTTGATGGTCTTTCCTCCAAGCGGAGCTCCTAGGAGTGTGGTTGGTAGTAACCTCTACTCTGGTTGGTAGAGGTTATTTCGCAATTGGAAGAGTTCAAGGTGAGGCCTTGATTTGTTCCTTGCTCTTGAACTATTCTTACGTCCTCCAGGAGGGATTCTGGGGAGCCAGCTCTAGTACCATCGTCCAAGAGACAAATGTTGAGCTCACTGGATAGGTTTTCGGTGACTTCTTTAATGACTACGCAGAAAAGGAGCGAGAGGGTCACTCTGTTGGACACCTTCTAATGAGTCAATTTCAAGTTCCACTAATATATATATATATATATATATATATATATATATATATATATATATATATATATATATATATATATATAATCTCAAATCAGAGCTATGAATAACACATAGTAGTAGTCCTGACTGACACTTTCAGTTCTCGTTCAGGATGTAATTACTGTAATTGTTCTGCTCGGCGAGTTTCGTCTCGTCACCTGGAGGACCAGCGCTGCTAGAACATGACAGGGCGCACCACATTCTTCAGTCTATTTAATACACTGTATTGCTTCTTCAATCTAAATAAAATAGTGACTCATTTAGCAACGTATTTGTGTCCATGGAACAAGCAACATGCGTTTGCAAATTAAATTCCAAATAACTTTTGTATTGTAAATATATATAAGTATTTACGAATTTTTAAATATATGAATATATCTGTCTAGTGGATGCTCGTTCAGTTGCAGACTATGTAATATTGTTCGAAACATTGATTAACTAATGGGCTGCTTCTTTCCCTGGTAACAGAAAACACACACACACATATATAAAAAATATATATATATATATATATATATATATATATATATATATATATATATATATATATATATATATATATATATATATATATATATATATATATATATTGACGCAGCTGGGAGCCTGGAGTAACGGGTATGGTATTTCCTAGACACTAGCAACAAAAATTAATCGCCTATACGCCACTAACCTCGGAAAAGCACCGACAATTGGTTTTGTTGTTAACACACGAGATCAAAGTTACATTTACTTGTGCCATATCCTGTGTGCAGGGCGAGGGCCGCAACACTAGTTGTTTCTGACAAACATATTCACTATAACCTTCAGATATATAAACCCACATATACACATACATTCTTTTCCATATATCTACTATACCTTTGTTGCTATAGTCTTAAGTTTAATTAATGCAACAACGTTGTTAAGTTTGAAAGATTTCTAGTGAAAAAAGTGTGTTCTGTTTTTAGGAAGGCGAAAGGTAGTATAGTAAGATGTAAATGAGAACATTCCTCATCTTACAGAAAACGAGACGTAAAAAGCTTCAAAGAGAACGAGTTTTTCTTTATAAAGGAAAACAGGATGAAGACAAAACTTTTAACACAGATAAGACAATGAGCCCTTTAGTTAAAAAGAAAGCAGTTAGTGAAAGAAGGGCTTAAACGCATCTGTGAATTCCTCAACATAGAGAGAACGGGAAAAGTTAGGAATATTGGGATTAAATAGTGTGAGAGAAGGTATAACTGAATCATTTGGAAGTTTGCGTTTTGTCACCCTCCCCCCCCCACTCTCTCTCTCTCTCTGTCTCTCTCTCTCTCTCTCTCTCTCTCTCTCTCTCTCTCTCTCTCTCTCTCTCTCTCTCTCTCTCTCTCTCTCTCTCTCTCTCTCTCTCTCTCTCTCTCTCTCTCTCTCTCTCTCTCTCGCCCTCACCCTTGCCATGTATATTCTAATTGCTAAGTTTAGTGTGCAAGGCAATTATGGAGTATTCTGTGTTGGCAGGAAGGCTGACTGATAGCAGTTTCCTCGAGGCGTGGTGACAGGTCGGAGCAGAGGTTCGAACAGCAGAGACCAAACCTGTCAATATAGAGACGTCAAACACTTCGTTTACACTTTATATAAAACGCATAATTTTATCTCCTATTTTCCCGAGGTTGAGTTTGTTTGAAGAATAGCGATGATGTAAAAATTATGCATTTTCTCAGGTCATAGATCCTACTCCCTTGGAATTAAATTATTTATTAAATATTCTATATATATTCTCCCTCGTGTGCATAGCCTGATATCTAAACCTGAAAATACACTCACATACACCGATGTAATCATCTGATTGTAATTTCATAGGCATATTCACAATTAGGGGATAGTCAGTAACATAATAGGATAATCAACAGCACCTGGGGCTAGTCAGTAACGCGTGGGGCTGGTCATTAAGACCTAGGGCTTGAAGTAAATCTGTGGGGCGGGTTCGAGTCCCGGAGCATGATAGGGGGGGGTTGGTGGGGTGCACCTGCACATTGAACGCTTACAGTTCACCGCTGTTAACTCGTCAGTAATTGTGAACCTAGTTGCAAACCCTCTAGCCAGCGGATCGTGTTCCAGGGAAAAGCTAGCAGAGTATCCCTTGAGAGGAGGGTTAACAAGGCGAGGTCTAGCTCAGTAACAAGTGGGTGAAACACTAATAAAATACAACCAAATTAGAAGCTTTGTGCGTAAGCGGCCTGTACATGTTTCATCAAGTTTATGCTAGATTTCAGTGAATTATTTATATAAGAGGAAGTTATAATAATATAGGCAACGTGTTTATTTTTTATAAATTTTGATAAATAGTAGTGAAGGTCGATACTCTTTTGTTTTTCGTATCGGGGGCACTTTGATCGGTGTTAGTGATTGTGTTGTGCGCGTCACTCTTGTGTATCTGTTTACACAAATGTCACAGCGACTGACACTGACCCTCGGCCTCACACGCACTCAACGCCCCCCCCCCCCCCACACACACACACAAACACACAACGTCCCCCCCCCCACACACACACACAAACACACATCGTCCCCCCGCCCACACACACACAAACACTCCCACTCCAGCAGAGAGTGAGACAGCACCAGACGCAGAAGGCGAGGCTGCAGTCGCAACATTACCGGGCCCTGGGAGACGGACGGCCTCCTCCCTAACGATGCCTTCCCCCAGGCAGGTGCGCCACCGCTTCATTTGTGTGGTCACGTGACTTGTGCTAATGGTAACGAGGGGGGTGGGAAATGGGAAGCAGGGGTGGGGATGGGGCTGTAATAACGGCCCGAGGGAGGGAAAGGGGGAGAGAGAGCAGAGTTGGAAGAGACAGCGGCGGTGAGGAGCAGCCGTCTGGAGAGAAGGGAAGGAACTAATCAAAATGTGTTTGTTT